TTTAAATGAGGGAAATCTAAAAGAAAAATGTTTTATTCAACTTTTTCTAAATAAAAATTATGCCTGAGACAAACATCTTATTTCTTCTAATATGTTTCAAGTCAGAACAAATCTGAGCATTCAACTTCAGTAAACAATATATTAAACTCTATGTGTATATATATATATATATATATGCACATATATACACTTTATACCTTAAATAACTGAATCCATCGTTTTTGTTCCATCTGTATACATTGTTGCATTTCAGAATTAGTAGTAACTCCGATGCTTTGAAAAGCTGTCACATATTCTTCTCGAACTTCTGGCTTTGTTTCTGGATAAGCTAGCTTGATGATCCCTAAGCATGCATCCCGAAGGCATCGGGATAACATTATCAGCTCTTCTAAAGTAAAAGGCATCAGTGATGATTGTCTTTGACCTACAACTGAAAAGCACAGTCCATTTTTCTATCAAGTTCTTCTATTTCATTTCTAAATACATATTGAAAGCTTAAGACAATAATCTCTATAGTTTATGAAAATTGGTATAAGCTAACAACCAAATAATTTCTCAAAATTCTTACCTTCGATGGGATCACCGAAGAATTCATTATCATGTATGGAAATTAATGAATGGCTAAACAAAGAGCTAAAAAGGTAAAACAGAGGGATGATTCGACTAGAGTCTTCAAAAGACATAGGAGAACCTCTTGATATCACCTGAAGCAACGGCACCATAGACCTTGTATGGGGAAAGGGAAGAAAAAAGGATTGAGATTAGTTTTGATTTGGGAACTAATTAAGACATGGAGCACACACATATAACCAGAGAAGACAGCACTTACACAGCTAATGCAAGGTCAATATAAAGATCTAGGTCAATAAAGATGACAGCACACCAACCCACCATAATTTACTGAAGTGCCTGCTGCTTATGTCTTTCAGAGCATTTTTGTTACTGAGAACTAGTCAGAGGCCTTAAGGTGGAGACTTTCAAAAGAATGTTAGAATAATAATGCCACTATTCAAGATACACCCTTTACTTTTATGAGAAGCTATCTTTTTTGTCTCTCTTTAAAATGGTTCTTCCACTTAACAATTTAACAAAGGCAGTTATTTAGATTGAGGAACTATCCCAAATAGCTCAATATTGAATCCAAATTAGAACCTTCAGGTATTAAGCTTCCACTGTTGCGTGTTGAACCTTATTTCTATTGTACAAATGCACTCACTAGCTCCCATTACTGCTCCTGTTTCATAGCTAAGTCACATTACCAACAGAGAACATGCACTGGAATCCGGCCTCTTAAATACAGCAGGTATTTATAGATCTTTATAGTCTCTACTCATCAAGAGCTGTGATTTATTACATTTGTTCCTCCCATCTGGAATTTGTTCCTTTTTCCTATCGATTAAATCTGGCTCCTTGTCTTATTCAACAATCAGCTACTAGAGGTTTAGCTATGAGCTCTTTTCAAATGATGTTTCTTATAATAAGTCAAACCAATCTTTGGCTAATAGATGTTGTATGGCAAGTTCACCTTCTCTTCTCACTCCAGAGATGGCTATAATTTGAATAAATGTTTCTGCAAAACTATATTCTCTCTATATAATCATATATGTATATGTGGGAAAAAACAAAACCACAGCAACATAGTTTGTGTATTATGAGATGTGGCCAGGATCAATGAATGCTTTGTCACTCGTTTGTGCTTGGATAAAGTTGGCTGAACCCCATGGACTTCTAAGATCCCTTGGAGCATAGTTTTTGAAAGGATAGTGCCATTAAAGATGCTTTGAAAACAGGAAGCTCAGATTTGTAGCCCTAATGTTCAAATACATCTCATTCTTATTTGTAGTCACAGTGTTTAGTACTTAACACTGTAGTGATTGATTTAATACACAAAAGCCATCCATCCAAAATAAAAACATAGTAGGGATATACAAAATGGGAGCAAAGTACAACAGTCCTACCTCATTGCCAAAGCCAAGATGACAGAAAAAGACTGTTTATACGAAGGATAAAAGAGCCATGGGGCTGCCCTAACTGCACAACAGTTGCTTCTTTTAAACTGCCAAGTCCTATGAGAGAAGGAACCTTTTATTTTCTGAGTTACTCCCTACTATGCCTACTACTGGGCCACCCACACAGCGGTATTCAGTAAAAATTTTGCTGACATACAGAAGAAAGCAAGCTTAATGTCATGTTTGTTGATATTGAAAATAATCTTCTGTACCTCTTAGTTCACTTGCCACTAACTGCAGAACTACAAAAATAACAGATTATATTACTGACCACATACTATTTAGGGAACATTTTTATTATATGGTACAGGTAGAGTTAACCAATTAGAATGTGGAAAAAAGGTTTCCTGAAACCAAAAAAGTGATAAACCAACTTTCAACTGTTATTCCTGTAGCTCATAGGTTCCCAATTATTTGGCTTACCATCCCCTTTTCAGGGGGGAATTACTCAGCACCACCCCAACCAATTAAAAACTTCTGTGCTACAGCCCATAATCCAGGATAGTGTAGGTGTCTGCTTTTTGCAGCTCCCTGCCCCTTTGCATCATTCTAGAACCCCCCCATGGGGTGGTACTGCTCACTTTGTGAAACAGGGCTTTTGAGAAATCTTGTACGTAAAAGTATTATTATTATCCTATTATTACCATCTGTTATGTACCAATATGGTGGTATGCATAAAATCCTTATGCACGCTTCTCTAACAAAGATTCTGGCAAAAAATCCACAGTAACTTTTGTTTTCTTTAAACTCTTGTAAAGTAAGCAACAGGAATGAATTATATTCACTTCAATGATGGAGAATTTAATTTCTATAAAGGTTCAAGATATTTGCCTATAGTGCCATCCAGTCAAGAGTTTGGCTCAAATACCCTCTACTTAATTATAAACAATAAATAGTATTAGCCCAGGAGTCCAAAAGATTACATAAATAACTATGGTTCTTACTGAACAGGCAGATGACATATGGATAACATATATGTTATGCTTTGGTAAAGAGGTATCTAATAGAAAACTGAATGCTCCATCATTTTCAGAAAAGAGGAAATGGCCTAATTTCAAAGTAAACACTAAAAGCTTCATATAGGAATTAAACTCTTACTTGCAAGATGTCTGATACACACACACACACAAAAGCTGCTATCTATTTGGAGATAGTCTAATTTGTAGTCCTTGGCTGGGGCCAGGAATGGACTGTATTTCTCAGTATGGTCCATGAACCATCTAAATCAAAATCACCTGTTTATATTAAGTAGAGCGATTCCTAAACTTTTACCCTACACCCACTGAATCAAGATGTCTGGAACAGAAAAATGTAACATATCGTATATACTTGAGTATAACCTGACCCGAATATCGGCCTAGGCACCTACTTTTACAACAAAAAGTACATTAAAAATGCGCTGAAAAACTCGGCTTATACACAAGTATATATGGTAACATGATCTTCCTGATGATCCTTGGGGACATTAAAACTTAAGAACTCAAGTCTTGCTACAAAAGTGTTTACAAATTAAACCCAGCATCATTTCCAGACAGTAATGCATTTCATTTTAACTTATATTCCAATAGAAAATACAAGCAGGTACCCCCCAAAACCCCAGAATTGTGCTGGGTGGGGCAGAACTTTCATTGTATGTATTTCAAGCTAGGCGAGCATCCAGCAACTAGCTCTGAGTTAGTGCACCCAATGGCATTGCCTGGGAAGATTCTCTCTGGTCACAGTGAATTTTTTTGTGAAAGCAGTTTCTCTTGAACTTTGTTTCTTGCTCAGGAAAAATGTTGCAGAAATTGTTGTGATGTTGAACACTGCTTATAAGGACAGCACTATGGGAAAAACTCAAGTGTATGAGTGGTTTTCTCATTTCAAAAAAAGGTGAAATGCTGACTGATGACAAACCTCGTTCTGGTTGTCAGGCAACTTCTGAATGGAAAAAAATGTTGACTGGTAGTGCATTTGGAGTTCCTTCTACCAAGTCAGACTGTTAATCAAGCTTTCTATTTAGAGGTTCTAATAAGATTGTGTAACAGTGAGAGGCAAAAAAGGCCTGATTTGTGGCAGACAGGGACTGGTTTTCGCACCACAGCAGTATATCTGCTCATGTAGCCATCTCAGTGTGCCAATTTTGGGGGAAAAAACCCCACAATGCCTCTCCTGCCCCACACATCTTACTCACCTTACCTCACTCCATGCAACTTCTTTTTATTTCCAGAATGCAGAGACATGAAAGGACAGGAATTTGATAATGTAGAAGAGGTAAAGAAAAAAATGAGGGAGGTGCTGTCTGCCATCCAAACTGATGAGTTTGAAAAATATTTCCAAGAATGAAATCACAGATTTGACAAATGTATTAAGTGTAGTTGAAAGTATACTTTGAAGGTGATAAGGTTGTTTGGTAAAAAAAATTTAAATGCATAGCTTTGAAAAAAAATTCCGGGTGTTTTTAGGTACCCCCTCATATGATGAGAAGTAACAAATTAAATAAAAAATCATCCTTATAACATCACAAAACAAAAACATCAAAACAAGAAGTTATTCTTTCTCGACATATCCTCTGAGTCTATATACTTCTGAAAGCCGTATTTCCATCTTTCTAACTCTTCCCTAAAGACTTCTGCCTTCTTCCATTTACACTGTCAAAATGGCAGTCTTGGCATCCTTGCGGGACTTTCAAAACATGCTCCTTTTTAAAATGTACCTTGACTTTTGGAAAGAAAGTCTGAATGGGCTAAAATAGAGCTGTAGTGTAGATGGGGCAAGGTTTTCCAATGAAATGCTAGCAGGACAGCTTTGCAAACCTCAGAGAATGACTAGGTACATTGTTTTGATGAGAAAAAATTGCTCATCACAACATTCCTAGCCTTTTATTCATCAGTGATAGTCTCGATTTTCTGAAAAATTCATCTTAATAAGCCTTCGTGTGCATTGTGTCCTTCAGAAAATCTACCAGCACTATCCCTTGAAGGTCCTAAAATAACTGTTGCCACAACCGTCTGAACTGACCTGGAATTTAACTGGACCACCAGATCACCGCAGAAGCCATTGTTTTGATTGGATCTTATTCTCTAGATCACAGGGGTAAACCCATGCTCATTTTTGGCTATGGTTCTATCCCATAAACTCATCTTCATTAGCTTCTAACTTGCTTAAGAGACTAATGTAAACATTCGATCTTCGAGTGAGCCAATCTTTGTCCAACACATCTGGCATGCATTAAGCTGAAAGCATGCATAAAATTGAAAATGCCCAACCATGTAAGATTCCCAACTTCAGCAGCTAGCACATCACTGGTAATTCGACCATCAGTTTCTAGACTTCTACTACAGCTTCTTCAAATGTCAAGGTCTTCCCACTCTTGCCTCATCTGCAGTCTGGCTGACCTTCTACAGGACATGTCATTTCTCTAAAAAGTGATGTCTAGCAGTACTCCTATAAGTTTATCGGGATATTTCAATGTTTTATGAAGATGTCCACTTGAATTTTGTTAAAAATTTGATATTAGCTCTGATATCAAAATAGTTTTTTGCACACAAAAAATCCCACCCACCCCCCTTTGGGGAGCATCCTAACAAGACTAATTACTTGCAGCCAACCACAAGGCACAGAGACACGTAAGCACACATTTTGTTCGGTATAAACCTATGTGTGCATGACTTGAAAGCCTAGCAACAATACTTTTGGACTTACCCTAGTATGTTAAGATAGTCATCTTTAATTTGGGGGGGAATATTTAATGCCACTACTACTATTCAAAATAATACCATGAACAATGTAGGGATTCAATAATTATTTATTGATTATATAAATACATGAACATTATATCACTTAAAAAATTCATGTGTTCTAATGTCTATTCTTCACTTATTTTTAATTATAGTTAACATAATATAAACTTAGTAAGTTGAACAAGTACAAAGAAATGAAAATTCTCAAAGTTCCTTTTAAGAAATGAGTTTTTAAAAAATATATAACTGTATCAACTTATAAAATATTATTAACAATTAAATTAATTAATCAAATCCCATTTTCTTTCACACACCATGACACCATTTCCTTACCAAGAGATAAATGTTATAAACAAATAAGCAACCACCAAGCAGAACTCTGACAATATCTCTGTTGCTAAGCTGGGGCACTTGCAGGCAAATGATAATTTCCTGTCCTAATAAATCTTTTCCCCTAAACAAACCTGCCATTTGTGCAAGTCAAGGTTGACACATTCATAAGTAGCTCAAATGCAAAAACAAAATTACCGAGTACAAAGAAACAAAGTTTCAAATTACCTTTTAAGACAGTTTTTTAAAAATTTGTATAAGTTTACAAACGGACACAATAGTTATGTAACTATAAAATGTGACCATCTTTTTCTCTATTGAAAAACTCAAGATCAGAAAATGTCAACACCATAAGGTTTAGTTCCACTCATGTCGAGTGCAGGTGAGTGTATATTTCTATTCCTCCTCTCCTCGAAAGAAAAAGGCAAACAAAAGCCCCTTTCTTCCAACGTCTTGTGTCTAGAAACAAAAACAAACTCTACCTTCCAAGCTGTTGTCCCTAGACCTGAAACAACCTACACAACAAAGAATCACATGACTCCTATAGTCCAGAATAACGGTGACCGCAGTTCACACTCCATCTTTGCATTTTAAACATGGATTAATTTAGACTGACAGAGGGTAACTCGAACAACATAGTAATGGCCTGAGTCAGTTTCCCATGAATGAATGGTTTTCTAAATATGAAATGTCCAGATCAGTGTTTCTAGCCTTGAAATTACAAAATACTGGTAATTAATATATGAAAATGAAGACCATATCAACAAGTCTTTTAAAAAAACAATGCCTACTTTATTGTATCGGTTTTATAAGTCTGCATAAAACATACCCTGTGATCATTCGTGTTGTCATAGAGGATATTAGAAACCAAAGATGTCTCAGGAACCTGGCATTAAATGCTAGACTGTAGAGAAGCCTAAAAAGTATATTGGAGATAAAGAATGTAAGAGTTAGCAAATATTCATTCAACACATTTCTTTTATTTAAATAAAAAGCTGCAGATAAAGTTAGTGTACATTTTAGAAAACATTCATTCTAACACCATAAATAATAGCAAGCTTCCTACAATAGGTTTCTAGATGACCATACTGAGAAAAATTCTTTGCGCCCTAAGTACTAAAAGTCATCATTCTATTTTCACTACCATGGAAGGAAGAAAGTTGTACAACAGTGCTGTGCAATATATTCACAAATATGAAAGTACAGTTGTGGGTACAAATTAAAGCTGTTCTCCTGTGCATCTTAACATATTAGTACACTTTAATAGTATATATTACTAATATCACCTTAGGGAGCCACTATTACCAGGTGGCACAGTGATTATCCATTGGGCTGCGATCAAGGTCTGCAGTTCAAAACCACCAGCAGGTCAATGGGAGAAAGAGTGGGTTTCCCACTCCCATAAATGGTTATAGTCTCAGAAACTCATAGGGCAAGTTCTACACTGACCTAGAGGGCACTATGAGTCGGCATCAACTCAACAGCAGTGAGTTTTAATATTACCATTAACATTTACTTGAATTTTCTAAAAAACTAAAGGCTCTCATTATGTTACCACTCCTTAAATATATGTATAAAGATATGTTTTTATGCCAACCAACTATTAAAAACAATTCACATCTGAAAGTGTGATTTAAAAACCCTTCCTCTACAATATCAATATGATTAAAAGGCCAAAGGAATGTTGAGGGTAAAGGGTAAAAGTTTACTAATCAATTAGCTCTATGTTGTTTGCCTTTGAATCCATTCTGACCGATACCAAATTCTTTGGGTTAACAGCCGTTAACAGATAGGTTGGCAGTTTAAACTCATGCATGAACTCCAAAGAAGAACTGGAAGATTACTCCTGTAAGGACGACGGCCTAGGACATGCTCTTGGGCAGTTCTTTGTTATACGGGATCACTAAGAGCCAAAGTTGACTAGCTAACACCTAACAACAACATATCACATACTGCATTCCTGTAACAGGATCTACTTTCTAGTCAGAATGCTGTAATATTTAACCCATAACCTTCTGATTTTTACAGGGGAAAAAAGTGCATAGACGTTTTCAGAAGTAACAGTATTGTTATTGTTAGGTGCCATCCAGTCTGTTCCGGCTCACAACAACCCCATGTATAACAGAAGGTCAACACCTCCAGCCTTGCACTCCTGCCTGACCCTGTCGCACCCTCAATTGTTGCTATATTTGAGCCCACTGTAGCAGCCACTGTGCCAATCAATCTTGTTGAAAGTCTTCCTATTCTTTGTTCATCCTCTACCTTACTGATTGAGTTATACTGAAATATCACACAATTGCCCTCTACTTTTAGAAGCATGAGGTCTTCTCCAAGGACTGGTTCTAGCTGAAAAAATGCCCCAAGTGCCTGCGATGAAGCCTCCGTGCTGAAGGAGCACTCTAGCTGCAAGGCTAACACGGCTCTGTCTGTCCTGTTGGCAGTCCATGGGGTATTTAACATTCTTTGTCAACACCAGAATTCAAAGTCATGAATTCTTCTTCAGTCTTCCATATTCCTCGTACAGCCCGGCATGCATATGAAATGACTCTAAGTACCACAGCTTGGGTCTTTCTCCATTTACCATGGTATCGCTTCCTAGATCAGCTATGAGAATCTGTCTTATGCTGAGGTGAAATCTACACTGTAGGCTGTAGGAGATGATCTTTCATCTGCTATCACATATTGATAAAAAGTCTCCCTCCAATCCGGAAACCAAGTTCTTCTTCATATAGTCCACTTTCTCAGACTATCTGCACTGAAGAAGAACAAAGGATGGACACCTTTTCTGATAGTAAGCCATGCAGCATCCCTTTGTTCTGTTTAAACCAATGTCTCTTTGATTCTTTGCTTTCAACCCAAACCCAACTGACTTGAGCCACGATATGCCCCATTCTACACCCTTTTCTGAATCCTGTTTGATTTTCTGGCAGTTCCCTGTCAACGTACTGATGCAATCAATTCTGAATTATCTTCAACAAAATTTTACTTGCATGTGATATTAATGATATTATTCGATAATTTCCACATTCTGTTGGGCCACTTTTTCTTTGGAATGGACACAATTATAGATGTCATCCAGGCAGTTAGCTGTGAGCACCTCCAGTATTGCACTGCTTGTGGAAACAGTTCAATTGGTATTCTTTATTCCATCCATTTCTGGAGGCTTCCTAATGCCTTCAGGGCAGCACGGATTTTATTCTTCCATACCACCGGTTCTTGATCATATGCGACTTCTTAAAATGATTGCTGTCAACCACATTTTTTTGGTACTGTGATTCTGTGTATACTATCTTACATTTTCTTTTCCTTTGATCCTTCCTGCATCATTCAATATTTTGTCCATAGAATCCTTCCATCTTGCAACTCAACTCAAAGCTTGATTTTTCTCCAGGCCTTTTAGCTTGAGAAATTCCAAGCATGCTCTTTTGGTTTTCTAACTTCGGGTCTTTCCATAGTTCATTATATTACTTCATTTTACCTTCTCCTGTTGACCTTTGAAATGTTCTGTTCAGCTCTTTGACTTCATCATTTCCTCCATTTGCTTTAGCTACTCTATGATCAAGAACAAGTTTTAGAGTCTTTTTTGGCATCTTGAATCAGAAAATCACATCGCCTACTTTGTTGAGAATGACAAGCTGAAGAGGAATGTTATCATGTTTATTTTTAAAAACATTTCAAGATCTATCATGAAATACAATGCTATCAGGAATATGCATAAAAGAAGACTAGTTAATACAACTAGCATTCAATTTTATGTACCAATCAATAAATTGCAGATATTTACCAACTTCTGTGGTCTGAAAATGACCAAATATGCAATCAAGATGAACTGATAATGATCAGAAATTGGAATGTGAAAGTTAAAAACAAGGAAGGATCATAAATTGGAAAATATGGCCTTGATTATTAGAAACCACGCCAGGGATCACATGATAAAACTTTGTAAAATGAACCAGTTATTCATTGGATACAGTTTTCAACAGCATCAACAGTGATTGTACATGTGGTCCTTGCTAGATGAAATACAAAGAAATCAAGTAGCTACACCTGTGGGAAGATGATGGAGAAGTTCACTATCAGCAGCCAAAACAAGGCTAGGAGCTGACAGTGGACAGATTATATAAGTTCAGGTTAAAGTTAAAGAAAATTAAAGTAAGTCTCAATAACCAAAATAAATATATGCACTGGGAAACTGTAAAATTTGTGACTGACTTTACTACAGTGAGCTAGAACTCAAAGTATCTCTGAATAGCTGTATGTGTGTGTGATAGAGAGAGAGAGCAGCTTACAGAGACAGATAATTAGGGCTGTGAATCAATTCTACCTCACAGTGTTCCTATAGAACAGAGTAGAACTGTCCCATAGGACTTCCTAGGCTTCATCTTTGCGGGAGCAAATTGCTAGGGCTTTTCAGTGGGTGTGAATCGCCAACCTTCAGAGCTAGGCATTTGATTGTTGCATTACCAGGGCACTGTCGATGGTTAAGCACTTAGCTGCTAATGTAAAGATTGGCATTTCAAACTCATTCAGCCACTTGGAGGGCAGGGAGCATGTTGTCAATCCGCTTCTGCAAAGATTACAGTAAAGTGGTTTTTTTTAACAGTGCTACTGTGTCACGTGGGGTTGCTGAGTCTTAGAATCAATTCCACACTATCTCAAAACATTAATAAGCCCACCTATCCATAGAAAGTCACAGAAAAAATCTAGTGTAAACTTACTCTTAAATTTTTATATATGTGTGTTTATACATTTATGTGCATGTATATCAATATATGTATATATATTACACATGTAGAAAGGAGCTTTCCTACCTATACTGTTTTTATGGGTTTTTTTTTTCTTGTGACTATAATATAAATCTTCCATGTAAAAATTAAAGTATTTCTCAATCACCTTTTAATGGTACCCATTTCAACAGTTGAAATACAGTTTCAAGTTAATGCTGAGATATTTATATTTATTCAATTAATAATCAGTAGGCATTAATGAAACAAATTATTAATCATTTTAGATTAATTACTGAAGGCAGGTAGCTAGAGCTTCTACGTGAAGGAGTGATCTGCTCTTTCCAAATACTATGGCAGTCTAAAAATCGCCCATTAAGCTTTACTTAGCTGTGACCATCCTATGAGTTAATTAGTGAAGGGCAACAGTTTCAACCCAGGTCATAACTTCAGTCAGTTTTCCACAGGGACTACTGAAGTTTGTAAAGAGAACACAATGGAGGAAGCCAGCTCACACACAGGCAGTAAAGGTCACTAAAACAAGGCACTCTCTGATACTTCCGCATAGGTTACATGTCACAGGTAAACAAATGATGGCCAGCTAATGACCCATTTAACAATTCTGGTATACAAGTGGAAATGTGATACTTTCTGTGTGTCTGCTGAAAGTATCACTTAAAAGGCAAAAGTTACCTTAAAGTAATATATAACAGTTCACAGCTAAGATCATTTAAAATTAGGTGATTAAATCTATTGATTATACTAAATAAATCATTGATTTAAGAAAAGTAGGCATGACACACAGGCAGAGCTCAATTTACTTGTTTTTTTCTGCAGGTGCATGCATCCTCAATATTTTGTTTCTAAAATACGACTATAAAAGCTTTTTACAGAAAATTGATTAGAATATTATAAGTAATATACAGTAAATGCTGCTGTATATGCAATGAAACATAAATCTGTATTTTTCTCCATTGAAGTTATTTATGTCATCATTATTTTCAAATTATTAAAGTATGAGATAAGAACTCTCCAATCAGATAAACAAGCAGTCATCTAGCTGAGAAGCAACAAAGCCCACATGGAAGAAGCTCACCAGTCTGTGTGATCACGAGGTGTCTATGGGATCAGGTATCAGGCATCAAAGACAGAACAAAAAATCGTATCATTGTTAATGAGGGAAATGTGGAGTGGGGACCCAAAGCCCATCTGTAAGCAACTGGACATCCCCTTACAGAAGGGTTCGCGGGGAGGAGATGAGCTAGTCAGGGTGCAGTATAGCAATGATGAAGCATACAACTTTCCTCTACTTCTTTAATGCTTCCTACCCCCCACTATCATGATCCCAATTCTACCTTACAAATCCGGCTAGACCACAGGATGTACACTGGTACAGATAGGAACTGCAAACACAGGGAATTGAGGACAAATGAACCCCTCAGGACCAGTGGTAATAGTAGCGATACCAGGAGGCTGGAAGGATGGTGGGGTAGAAAAGGGAACCGATTACAAGGATCTACATATAATCTCCTCTCTGGGAGATGGACAACAGAAAAGTGGGTGAAGGGAGATGTAGGACAGTGTAAGACATGACAAATAATAAATTACAAATTATCAAGGGTTCGTGAGGGGGGAGCGGGGAGGGAGGGGGGAAACGAGCTGATATCAAGGGCTCAAGTAGAAAGAAAATGTTTTGAGAAATATGAGGGCAGCAAATGTACAAATATGCTTGACACAATGGATGGATGTATGGATTGTGCTAAGAGTTGTACAAGCCCCTAATAAAATGATTTTTAAAAAAAGAAGAATTCTTCAATCGAGAGCTAAAGAATACTCATTACCAGAGAGTACCTAACAGTGTTAAGGAAACAGATGGGAGAATAGTACACTGCCAGGATACATAATTTTCTAAATCATAATAATTAATAACTCAGGACAAATTAGGCTGGGTCAGTCGATTGGTTTCTGGTAGGAAAGTTAAAGCTTGTGTTCAAATAAAGCTACCTATGCTGCTATGTGATTTGATATATTTATATGCAGATATGCAAATTATAATATCAACCTTTCTAATTACTAAAAAATTCCCTTTACAATTCACTTTCAAAGACTTTTTAGATCTGTAAGTAGAACAAAACTGCCAAATGCAGAAAGAGTGTGCTAGTCTAACCACTTCAGCATAAATTCAACATGTTAGACTCAGCCTAGAGTACTACCTTAAAACATAAACTTTGAGTAGCATCTAAATGTTAATGAAAGTTGATATGGCAGGTGAAATCTCAATATTCAGACTCAGAGAAGACTTCTGAATGATGGGTACTTTAGGCTGAATCTTAACAATTTCTCCAACAAACAAACAAACAAAAAACAAAGGAGGGAAAACATATTTGGAACACAGAGTAGCATATGCCAAAGGGAAGCAATGTAAAATTTGACCACTCACTGCCATCGAGTTCATGCTGGTGTACAGTGACCCTATAGGACGAGAGAGAACTGTTCCTGGAAGTTTCCAAGGCAGTAACTCTTCCTGACGGTAGAAACCAAACCAAACCTGCTGCCATCAAGTCGATGCAGACCCATAGTGGACCTCTAAGGGTAGAGTAGAACTGCCCCTGTGGATTTTCTGAGACTGCAACTCTGCAGGAATTTTCCTCAAGTTGGCTGGTGGTTTCAAACTGCTGATCTTGCAGTTAGCAGCCCTATGTATAACTAGGGCTCCTATAAAACTGCATAGAAGAATAAGAATAGCACATAATCATGCTGTGTTGTAAATCGAAACTTCTATGATGTTAATCAGGCAGGGTACAATCTACAGGATTAGGGTCTATCTTGAAACATACTCTCCTGAGATTTGAAAGAGATTAAACAAGCAAGTGGAGCTCAGAGGCAGCTGACCATCACCAAGAAGGAAGAGCTGGGCGCAGAGCAGCTCTTCTGGAGCCAGGTCTCTGCAGGGTTACACTCCTACACCCAGGGGAAGACGGGTGATAAGGAACTTCCCCCAAATAGATACAGAAAGAAAACCACCCTGAATTGGGACTGGGAGCTCCTTAACCATGAGAGACTCTATTTCTGTCTGTAAAAGTCCTCTACTTGTGACCTTTCTGGTACAGAAACAACAGATAACTAAGACACAACAAAAGGCGATCTGTGTCTAGGAAAGTAAACAAGTGCTCAATAATGAAAATCATCTTAAGTGAAATTGAAAGCAGTTAAAATTCATAGTAAATAGAAGCCCATGTGTTCCTTTATGGGTTATGAAAAACACTGAATACTAAAACCTATTTTTAAACAATAAGTAAAATTCCTAGAGAACTTTCTTAGAGGAAATAGGTGCTGGGCTCATAAAATTAAGACTAACTTATAAAGCTTCTTAACTCATTAAGCACCTTTGGAAGCAGTTCACCAGTAAACCTCAGACAAGAAAGGGATGCATTTGAATCCAGTAATGACTATCCGAAGCACTGGACTTTTTGCCACAATAAAAACAAGTGTCCTAGTTCTGCTGCTATGAACCTCAGGTCTCACATCCTGCTCTAATGCAATCTACAAAGAGCTAATTACCTAATCAAGGGATCAGTGTCACTGGCATCTTACTTCCTCTAGTAGTAATAAATACCAGTGGGCTAAGAGAGCAACTAATTAGCCTGCAGCATTATTGTTTACAAGGTAGTTCAAACAGTTAATACTTTCTCTCTTGTTTGTTTTTTTTTTGGGGGGTGGGGTGGGGGTGGGAGCGCCTAATACTTTCTTAAAACACATTTCATTTAAAAGATTCCTTTCCGGACCAAAGGAAAGAGCTCTTTTCATGCTATAATGACATTTTATAAAAACAAGAGAATTTCTTCCAGTAGCTAGCATAAATCGTCTGACACGCTATAGAACCAAATGTAACCGACTTTCAGCAGCTTTTTCCAGATTCTTTGTATGGCATGAGTTCCTAGAAGAACTAATAAAATTTGTATCAAATTATCAAGGAAATGAAACAATTCCTCAAAATAGAGAACAAGAAAATAGTTCAAAATCACTGCCACAATTATCTAAACACAAATTAAGTTGTATATTTTGCTTTGTTCCATTTTAGAATTTATTTCAAGGCTTTAAAAAATACAGTAAAAATCCAGAGTGCCCAAGGAAATTGCCATGGGCAATTTGATAAAAAGGGAGCTATTAAAAAAAAAAGGTAATACATTGGTTCAGTAAGGCAGATATGAGTTTTAACTTTCTTTAACAAGTGGCTAGAGCTAGTTTCTGCTTTCATTTTTAAGATATCAGAGAAACATAAGCTTGGTTGCTTTGTTAATATATAATGGGACCCTAGCAGAGTGTGCTGGCTGCTAATTTAGAGGTAAGCAGTCCAACACCAGCAGCCGCTCTGCTGGAGAAAAATTAGGCTTACTACTCGCACAAAGACCGACAGTCTCTGAAACCCATATGGGCAGTTCTATCCTAGTCCCATAGGGTAGGTGTGAGTCAGAACAGACTTCGTGGCAGTGAGAAAAAAAGGAACAGACTCTCACAGGCCAGGGAAATGACTGAATCAGTATTAAGTTAGTTTATTGGGAGGGAGTAGGGAAGGGTGAGGGGGGGCGAATCATATAGATTTTCTATGAAATGACTGGACATTGGCATAGTTCTATATTACATTTGATGAGATAATATCAAATAAAAATGACACACAGAGATGAAGGATGAAGGACCAGAACAAATCAGAAGAGAGGCAGGCCTACTGTCATTCACACTTTACCATTAATTTACTATTAATAGGAGATATACTTGCCTGACTTTGGGCACCATCATTCGATGCTGGACCATTAGCATATGGCAAATGGAGGCCATCATTGTAAAGACTTCTTCACTAGCTGAATCCCTCCAAACCATGTTTAAGAGAGTGTTTGTCTGCTGTTTTGTATCCAACTTTTTCAGACACTCCTCTGTTATATATGGTATTGATAGTCGACCATCCTCCTAAATACACATCAGAAAAATTAGTTCACAGTAGATGTTCTATTAGAACTTCCTCTACATTACTAACATATATAAACAGTAGTTTGCTCAACAAAAAAGGGCATCTTAAACATTATTTTAAAAAATCATTGCCACCCCAATAAATATATTCAGTAGCCCTAACTACTAAATCCAATTAAGTGATTTGGAGCACCTCTAGAAATCCCCAGGCACTGTTCATATTCAGCACCAACTTTATCCACTATGTAACCCGGGGATTGTGAATATTCAGTTTCTGCCTACCAATATGAACGCATTTTTGATTGTCTTAAGAAGAATTCATTTCATAGTTTAGAGATCTAATTGTACTAAGGTAGCAAGCATATATGAAAACACACTTCATCATCCACAACACATTATTTTGAATTATTTGAAAGATCCGTTTAAGCAAAATGTTTTAATTACATTTTTTTAATTACATTTTTTTACTCTCTTTATACCTCTGAAAAGGTATAAACAATGTAAGAATAATGTATCTCAAGCCAGTAGGAGTGGTGATCTCTGGGTGGGAAGATCAGAGGGTGAAAGGAAAAAGGGAATTTATCTCTGTCATACATCACTGACATCATTAAAAATAAGACGGCACACAAAGTTTAGAGACAAAAAAAATATATATATAATACACAATGTAACTGTTTACTGACACACAGGCTCACAAGAACTTACAGGGGTGTTCATCTGTTTATCTGCTTCTTCAGTCTCATCTTCAGAATCACTGGCTGAATCTTGACAGCTCGAACTGGCAGATGAAACTGGTAACTGTGAAAGGAAGGTCTGGAGTACTCTTAAATATACTAGAAGTCCTTCCTCAGAGAGGGTCCCTTTGTAAAACAATCAAGCATAACACGTTTTAATAGAAAGTTATAGAAAACGCACAAATCTGGAAAACTCAAGGACCATTTTTAACTATACTCAGACATTTCTGAACAGATATAATATGGTTAGCAATGTGTGGAATCAACATTCTTGCACTCATACAAGGTCTCCTGCACTTTAAATAATTAGAGAGCTCTCCTTTTTAATCTGTATGATCACATAAGACATACATCTAAATCAGACTTTTATTATGCCTGAAAATGTCTATCAGGGACACTGACCCAACCCTAATCCTTCGGCAATCACACTCTTCAAAGACATTCCCCCATTAAAACCATTATTATCACAGTCATCATTGCTTTCTCTCTACTTAGCCACTAATACTACCTATAAGAATTGTTTAAGTGAAAAGATATCTTGATTTTCATACCCAAATAATTTTCTCCAACAGTTAAAACAAAGTAGAAAAGCCAAGGTGCTCCACCACTTATTTTTGACCCTTTACTCTCTATTAATAACAGTGCACGGAGCAAGGGCTCATAAGGGAAAGCAGTCTGTGTAGCTGCTAAGGCTGGAATGATGAAATGAAAAATCTGCTCTGTAAAAGGTGCTGCCAAGAACTCCTCTGTGAAAGCTGTAAAGACTTGCTGCCTGAAAAAGAAAAATATGGAGCCTTTTCAGATGATCAAAGCAAGCAGTTTATAAAATGACTCATTAAAATTACAGTTCAAAATAAACTTCTATAGTCTACTACTCTAAATTAACTGAAGAATTTATTATCAACACAAAGTGAACTGACTTTTGTGTCTTCCCTCTTCAGAAAACCCTCTTGTGTTCTTGTATCTTTTTTTAACTACTAGCAAGCTGGAGTAACCAGGTCATCAGAAGCACAAATGTGTTTATTAAGGTGCTAGCTGTCTCTAAAAGGAAGCACAGTTTTTGAGAAACCATCTGACTTTAAAGTCTACATTGAAAATAGCATCCTGAGTATAAGGCACTGCTGGATACAAATCTTAACACGTCACAAAATGAGTACATCTATTCCATTCTTACCTTGCGCCTTCTGGACAGGAGTTGTAAGTAAAGTGCAATGGTTTTACAACATTCTCTAGCAAAATGTTTGCAATAGGAACTCGGGATACATCAGAATATTCAATACTTGATGGAAGCTTACTGTTAATTAACAAATAGAGAGACCTATAATATCCTAAAGGAAAGAAAGAATACATATTTAAAATTTAGCACCACTTCTCATCAAAGCTTATTAATTTTAAATGCATTTTATAAATCTAAGTCCAAATTTAAGTTGAAATGTCTTTAAAATTTTAATTAAGAACATCTTTAAAAAAACAGAAACATGTATGACACACATTTATTTACTCTTGAAAAAAAACCATGTATATATAAAATTTTGTTCCATCAATGTCCCGATTACTTTTTGAAAAACAATTTCTCAACTGTAAATTAGGTACGGGCTTATAAGGGGGTACCTCTCCCCCCCAAACACTTTCCCCCTCCAAAGCTATGTATTTACATTTATTTTACTAAACAACCTTATATATTCAGAGTTGTGTTCAACATCACAACAGTTTCTGCTGCACATTTCCCTGAGCAGGAAACAAAATTTCACAGCCGCATGCTGTTCTCTTAAATCGGCCA